AGACACACTCACACTCACACACACAAACACACACACACACATTCACACTCACACACACACACACTCACACACTCTGTTCTGCATACCGTTACATTTAAATGATTTGTTTTGGAGTGAGGGGAACTAGACTATGATTATAGTGTTTATAATGTTTATACATTATATATTTCACTTTATTTGGTAGTATTTCTGGTATTATTACACTCTCTCCAAACGTTCTGCTGCTCACAGAAGAGTGGAGAGAGTGGGTTAAGCAGTAGAACCAATCTACGAGAGCGATTTTTAATTTAAGAAAGCTGATTGGTCAATAATATGTTGAGGACCAATACATAATCAACAAATCATGCTCCAAATACATCTACATAAACCCGCAATCGCTCTGTCTCGTATGCACGCCTTCAATGTCTCGATCTAATGCACTTGTTAATGCCGGATCTTTAAAAACAAATACCGGAATGCAAAAATCCAAAATCGTGACATTTTCCAGAACAGGATCCGGCTCAAATTAAGCACTGGGTGGGTCTCTGTCTGATCTTTAGGGCCTTCACTAGTCATTATGCTGATAATCGAGTAATCGGATAACTGTCTTTTTTTTTTTCTTCTTTTTTTTGTGGTAATAAAAATAGACCTAAGTGAAGAATAGCTTTAAAGTGACTTAAATGCATATAGTAATGAGGCAATAACAATTAGTTCAAACAATGTATCATTGCTCTTTTGTTGGTTTTGATTGCTTCTATTGTCCTCATTTGTTAGTGGCTTTGGATAAAAGCGTCTGCTAAATGACTAAATGTAAATATAATGTACTCGACACGGACAAAATGCAATGGTGGATTTTTTCAAATGGAGTGCTGGTAGATGACGGCCGTGTGTGTGGTGTGCAGGTGCAGGGCAAGGATCCGTCTGTGGAGATCACGCAGGACCCCGGGGACGAGTCTGAGGAGGAGCGGTTGGAGGACATGCTGGAGAGCGGTCACCCGCTGGAGCTGCCCCCCTGCGAGCCAGGCTGTCTGGAGGAGCTGGAGGAGCTGGTGATGTCCGTGCTGCCGTCGCCGGTCCGGCGGGAGAAGCTGGCGCTCGCTCTGCTCAGCTCAGGGTACATCAGGAAGCTGCTGCAGCTGTTCCGGGCGAGCGAGGAGGAGGGGGACCGCCGGGGCCTGCAGCAGCTGCACCAGATCGTGCGCGGCCTGCTCCTCCTCAACAAGGCCACGCTGTTGGAGGTGATGTTCTCCGACGACTGCATCATGGACGTGGTGGGCTGCCTGGAGTACGAGCCGGCGCTGCTGCAGCCCAAGAGCCACCGCCAGTTCCTCACCGAGACGGCCCGCTTCAGAGAGGTGATCCCCATCAGGGACTCGGAGCTGCGGCAGAAGATCCACCAGACCTATCGCGTGCAGTACATCCAGGACATCATCCTGCCCACACACTCCGTCCTCGAGGACAACTTCCTGTCCACGCTGTCCTCCTTCATCTTCTTCAACAAAGTGGAGATCGTCAGCATGCTGCAGGTGCGTCGCTTCACGCCGTTAATTGAAAACTGTGACGCTGCGGGACAGTAGAGTAGCTGCACGATAAATCACAATCACGATTAGACAGAAGCTGTGATAGTCATGTGTATCTCGTCAGTGAAGCAGGGTTCTGTGATCAGTAGTAAATCTCCATCTGAAGGCCAGAGAAACATACGCCTCGCAGAAGAACCCCAGGAAGTTCCTATAGTGGTTGCTGAATAAACAGAAGATTTAACTGCTTTCACTGATTCAGCGTGACTAATAAACACACGACTATATGATTTATCTGAGTTCTTATTATGATAATGCAATGCTAATCAACATAGCCTTTATCACTGCTTAGAATACTATGAAATATGTTGCGTGTCTTATTCTGTGTAAGAAGCCTCATCATCTCACAGAAGGATTTATTTCAAACACTCTGACGTTATGAAGTGAGTTTGGAGTAAAAACATGTTATTAAATGTGGTGCTTTCAGATGGAGCAGCATTTACTACACAGAGCCGTAGTTCACTGACAAGCTACGCTGTCAGTATCATAGCAAGATTTCATAATCACGTGATTGTCGTGTGCATATTTTTTTTATTTATTTTTTTTGCGTAGCTTGTCAGTAAACTACGGCTCTGTGTAGTAAATACTGCTCCATCTGAAAGCAGGTGATGGAGATTTACTACTAATCACAGAACAGTGCTGGTTCATGTTCGGAGCATGAGAGAATATGAAATATGTTCACATAAACTTGAATCTGATTTGAATTCTCCGCTGTAAGAAGACCTCATGCATAATACAGCGCAGTGATTGGATCATAAGAGTTTATTCTCATGAATAATACTGAGAAAAGCTCGGAAAACTGATGACGTAGAGGCATACTCTGCAGCCACTGCAAATTAACACATATATACCTCTCTTTTCAAGACGTCGGTTCAACTTTTCTTTTTAAACCGGAAGAACGAAATGCAGTTGAACTTAAATGTAGTTGAGAAAAAATCTTGCAGCATAATCTTGGTTAAAACAACCTGATTTAATGCAATCTCAGTTTAATTTCTACCCTACACACTGCTCAATCACATGCACACAGCACACTACTTACCGCAGGGCTAGTGAGGCCACACCCCCTACATGCACTGTGCTTTTCTCCATAACATGAACAGATCATTTCTTAAATCCTGCATACAAAATATCAAGATGTCCATCTTGGTAAGTATTCATGTAAATTACATGACTATAACAAAAAATTGTTTAAAACTTCCTTGTGCTGTGTGTAATATACTGTGAAACTAAATTAGGCTATACCATTGTAAAAACAAATACACTGACTGAACAAACCATAGACTGGAACAAACATTTAGGTGAGATAATAATAAAACAGAAGTCTAAAAAGGACTTATATTGTTAGAAAAGATTTATATTTTGAATAAACACTGTTCACAAGTTTTCATTAGAGCTGCACGATGAATCACATGTGATTGTCATGTGCATCTCGTCAGTAAAGCCGGTTCTGTGATTAGTAGTAAATCTCCATCACGTGCTTTCAGACGGAGCAGCATTTAATACACCGAGCCATAGATCACTGACAAGCTACGCAATATGGCGTTCATAATCGAAGGCGATTCATATGGCTCTGTGTAGTAAATGCTGCTCCGTCTGAAAGCACGTGATGGAGATTTACTACTAATCACAGAACCGCTTTACTGACGAGATGCGCATGACAATCACATGCGATTAATCGTGCAGCCCTAGTTTTCATTCATCAATAAATCCTGAAAAAAGCATCACAGATTCCCCCCCAAAAATAAAAAAATGTCATTTTTAAAGTTTGTATTAGTATTAGATTTAGATAGTATTGTATTAGAGCCTATGATCAAACAAACGGTTTATATTTATGCTTGTATATAATAGTTTTATAAATTTCCCCAAATTTCCAATTAATTCCCATAAATTCCCTGGTAAGTTTCAAACTTGGAATATTTCCAAAATTCCCCAGACGAAGTTCCCATGGAAATTTACCGGAAATTTTCCGCCCATTTGCAACCCTATTCATGACCCTGAAGTCGCTGCAGAGTGAGATGTCGTATCATGACCGTTACCGTGTCGAGAGACTTCTGCTCGAGTGTGGCTCTGTGCAGTGGTCATTGATTGGCTGGTACTCGCAGTAGCAGAAGATTTGACGTGACCTGCAGTGGCGATGATAAAACAACAACCAATATTATTGCAATATAGTTTTCCTAGATAAAACGATAACAAGAGTTCAATAAATGTTTGATATAATGTTTATGCGCCAAAAGCGGAACAAAACAGTGCTGCTTATTAGGGCTGCAACAAATTATTATTTTGATAATCGATTAATCAAACAATTAATCGTTGATTATTTCACAGATTAATCGGTAGACTTTGATTATTCAGCTTTTACAATTAGTTAAAATATTGAGTTAATACATTCTAATAAATAAATAAAGGTAATCACTTCAGCTTTTGAAAATCATATTATGTAATTACAATTATTTTGCAATTAATTTATACAAATAAATATATTTGGCACACAAAATGAGATGACAGACAGAGAAATTCTTATTCACCATTTAATTAGCTATATGAAAAAGTAACTGAAAGACATGATTCTGCCTAACATCTGCCTTTGTAAGTCATATGGATAAGAATCAAAATAAAGATAAGCGATAAGACGCTTTATTTTTGGATAAACTGTTTTATTCACAACTTAATTTCTCTTAAAATACCTTCTAGGGTTATGATAATCAAAACAGTCCTGAGCTAGAGCAAGCTTTGATCTCTCATCATATCACTGTAATCCGATGCTTTCTTAACTGCTGCTTTCTCACTGCGGTCAGTTTTTTGTGTTATTGAGAGGAAAGCGTGCAGCATATATTTACATATTGATCCAAACGCTGCTCAGCAGCTTCAGGTTCGGCTGCATTTGCTCTAAAGCCTGCTGTGTGTGTCTTCTTCTCTTGAAATGCATCAGGAGAGCTGAATTACAGTCTTGCGCTACAGCGCCACACTGGTCAAACCGCATTACTGCAGGCTCTTACATTAGCTCACATGACATCAAGCAACTACTCGACAACAAAAATATTTTTATGTCGACTAATCGTTTCAGCCCTACTACTCATTTGAACTGCGCCACATGGAGCGTCTATCCACTCGGCTCAAAGTTCAAACGGCAGCACAGCGGTTGCGAGCTCACTAGAGCAGATGCATTTACTCGCTGATGAGTCTCGGTCACGCGACACTAAACAGCGCTGTGAGATCTAGTGTGAAGCGCTGGCATTCAGTGAGGAACACAAATGACTTGAAGCAAAATAAAACAGACTTTTCAATCTACAAATCAACATCTTTTACCATGAGTTTACTGTTGTAACAACTGCACCGTGGTACTGTGGCAGAAATGTGGGGTATTCATATCGAATTTTATTAATGTAGACATCAGTAATGATGATCAGCTATGAACGGCTGTGACTGTATTGTGTATTTTAGCACAGCTGGAGCGCTGTATTGACCAATCAGAAGCCAGAGTGCATTATCTAATGTAATAATACATGTTAAAGTTATTGATGCTTATGAAGTTTTAGCAGTGCTACATCAGTGAACTGTACATTATTAATATTGATTAAATAATGATTAAGTATAAGTTGCTATATAAAATAAATCTCAAAATGGTCCATACTTTAGATCAAATTAAAAAAATTTTTTTTAAATAGATTTATTTTCAAATGAAGTATTTCTAGTCATGTAACAATTCACTCAACTCACAATGCAATACAACTCCCGATACTGATTTCACAATACGATTTTCTCATGATTTATTTCAACAAAATGGGATTCAGGACAAATTCTAAATGAAAAAGGTGTTCTTTTCAGACCAAATGCTGCACAGTTCTTTGTGAAATTTAAATGTGTAAAAAAAATTTAAATAATCCAAATAAATTTCTTTGTTCAAACAGACTAAGGCTGCACTTATGAACACTAATATGCATTATACAGAGAGGAGATGAAAAGAAAACACCATCTGAACTTTTCTAAAGAAGTCAGTTCCCCTCAGAGATGCATTCATATAAACTCTCACCCCAACTGTATCACGAATTGTTTAACAACTCAACCGACGTGAATCCTCACATTTTTATAGACTTTAAACCGGCTGGGCGTGCATCATATTTCAAATGATATATTAATACCCTGCGAGCCTGCAGAGGATTTATAGTGTAAATATGTACTAAAGCAGTGCTGTACATGTTGTTCACTATCTGTCATTAAATGTGCTGTCGTCTGCTGTCCACTGCCTTTATATCAGTCACTCTGATCTCCTAGTGCTGATGCATATTTGTTAAATTGACCATATAATAGATATCATAATGGCTATAGACATGACATGAATTCAGATTAATGCTTCCACTCAGCTGGTTTTTATGAATAATGAATATGCTTGAAATGTGAATGTGAATCTGATTTATAGAATCCATGAATTATAGTAACGATTAAATCATTAACACTCTGGTGTCGGTCAGTTCTGAGGCACTCTACCTCAATTCAGACGCAAACAAAAATCTATCATGATGTAACTGTGTGTGTGTATGAGAGTGTGTCAGTGCTGCTCTCCTGCGGTGTGTGTGTGTGTGTGTCAGTGCTGCTCTCCTGCGGTGTGTATAACGCTGTGTGTGTGTGTGTGTGTGTTTCAGTGCTGCTCTCCTGTGGTGTGTGTGTGTGTGTCAGTGCTGCTCTCCTGTGGTGTGTGTAATGCTGTGTGTGTGTGTTTGTGTGTGTTTCAGGAGGATGAGAAGTTCCTGACGGAGGTGTTTGCTCAGCTCACAGATGAAGCTACAGAGGACAGCAAGAGGAGAGAGCTGGTACATCACACTCACTCTCACTCTCTCTCACACACACACACACACACACACACACGCACGCCAGGGGTTCACGCCTGTCTTCTCTACGTCTGCAGGTGAACTTCTTCAAGGAGTTCTGTGCTTTCTCACAAACGCTGCAGCCACAGAACAGAGATGCCTTCTTCAAAACGCTGGCCAATCTGGGCATCTTACCGGCGCTGGAGATCGTGATGGTGAGTAGGTATGGGCGATATGGGCTTAAAAATGTATCACAATAATTTCCGGCATTTATTACGATAACGATATCAATGATGATAATTCAGGAAATTCTGTTTCTTTAGAGAAAAGTATTATGTTTCCTATTTTTACCCAAAATATGGTGTTGTGAGCATTACTGAGTACACACGTAAAGACTGTTTAATTCATACTGGAAGCCGGAGGGCGCTCTTGCACAGAAACTCCACGTATGCATCACAGAAGTAATAACACTGACAACGCTCCAGGAAATCCCTAATATGGACAAAGGCATCCAGATATCGCTGAATAAAACGCAAATAGAGAAATTTTAACTGGGGAAACGTTAACATACGATTGCACAAATTATATGGTTTATCTGTGTTCTTCAAGCAATCTTTGGTATTTTTATAAGGAAAGTATATTTATAATGCAATGCTAATCGAGATAGCCGTTATCACTGTATATAATACTATCATTCTGTAATATGAAACCACGTCTGGTCACAAAAAGAAGTTATTTCAAACACTCGACTATGTTATGAAGTTAATTTGGAGAAAAAGCATGTCAATAAATGATATCTTTGTTGGACAACAGGTTTGTAAACAGACTCATACACATGCAGAACTGTATCGCACACATGCTACTGTAGTACATTTATTCAGACAGATTTTTTGTGCACCGCACAGCCCTGACCAAACCAGTTCCATATTGAAGAAGGAGCTCCTCGTTTAGCGATAAACTCCTCCTCAATTTCACGTCCGCCATGTCACACAGAAATATGTCAACATGTTGTTATTATCACGGGAAGACTGGTACTGATTGTTACTGGTATATGTCAAACGATGAGATCTGGCCCCCGTCTTATAATCAGGGTCGTCTTATATTCGGGCCAATACGGTAATCACTCCAGCTCTTGTTTAACAATAAGCAGATGTTTGGCGTGAGGGCCAGACGATGTGACTGTGTAATGTTGTGTAACGTGAGCATGAGCAGGATAAAGACATTGATGTGGATCAGAGCTGAAGTGTGGATGTGTCATGCAAACAAGCTGCACTCTCCAGGATCGATGAGCTGCAGATCATTGAAATACAGCAGCAGTTCCTCATCTGTGGCATCTACTGGTGCTGAGTGTTGATGCAGATTCTGATTCACAAGCTCTCAGTTCCACTCTGCTCTGGATTAATTCATTTAGAAATATTTCAGGAAATGTTGCTTTTGTCTTAAAGAAATAGTTCACCCAAAACTGAAAATGGTCATCATTTACTCTCCTTCATATCATTCCAGACACAAGACTTTAGTTCATCTTCACAACACAAATGAAGATATATATTTTTTTTTTTATTGTTGTCCATCCACTGAAAGACAAAGCAGAATTCCACACATTAAAAAGACATTGTAAAAGTAATCCATATAAATGGAGCTGTGTATTCCACACAGTTTTAATCTAGGCGTTTATAAACATTGATCAACATGTAACTTCATTAATGGACACTCAGCTGTACTTGTGTGTGTGTGTGTTGATCAGTGTTTATATGTGAATGTTAATATTAAGGCTTGTCCACTCTTTCTCCATATTTATGCTGGTGAAGTAATGACTGTGAATACAAAAATACAGGAACAGAGATAATGGAGTTTCTTGCTGAAATCATTTACAGAATGACTCTCATGATGGATTTATTCAGACATGCATAAAACCATTAAGACATCACTAACAGGTAAAACATGAAGTAAAACATCATTCTGTATTTTGACGTCTATACAGGGATCTGTCACAACACAATAAAGAGCACCGAAATGGCTTCGTGATAAAATGACCAGAATGTAAAATGTGAAACTTGAAGCATTGCTACAACCATGTTTAGTGAGGCTTTATTCGCCTGTCAGTTGAAAACAGCTCAGATTAAGAGATCTAATTTGGGATTTAAGAGTTGAAGTCACAGTGCATCATGAAGCGGGTGTGTTTGTGTTCAGGACGTGCTGCTGATTAACGTGGTGATCAAGCAGATGATCTGTGATTCGGACCCGGAGCTGGGCGGTGCAGTGCAGCTCATGGGGCTCCTGAGGACCCTCATGGACCCCGAGAACATGCTCGCTCCGGCCAGCGTGAGTACAGCCTGACACGCTCTCACAGCTAACACTTTCACTTCTGACTCGCCAGAAACTCACCTCCCTTTCCCAAAGTTCACACTTGTGCCTGGACGAGCAGAAGAGCATCCTCAGTCACTTCTGTGTGTGTGTGTGTGTTTGGACAGAAAGCAGAGAAGAGTGAGTTCCTGAGCTTCTTCTACAAGTACTGTATGCACGTGCTGACTGCTCCACTGCTGGCTAACACCGGCGAGGAGGACCCAGGTGAGACACACGCCTGCTCCGCTGCTGCAGTGAGCCGTCTGTGAGCGCACATATCAACACGTGTCTGTCTGTCCACAGATATGACGGAGGGAGCGGCTAAACCCAACCCCGTGTGTCCAGGTACCGTCTCCTCTCACCTGAGCTCGCTCCTCTCCCGTCTGCTCGAGAGGTCTTCTCGGGACCTGCATGAATTCTGTTTTTAAAGAAAGACCCGCCCCGAGACAGACCCTGATGAAATTAGACCCGAGTCCGAGTAGTGCTGGGAAAATAAATCAATGCATCGCGAATGGAGAAATGATTCGGCATCGATTGAGATTTTCCCAATGCTTTCTCGAGTGTATTCTGAGCTTAGTGTTGAACAGCAGATGGCGCTGCATGCTTTAGAAACAGCTGTACTCTGCTTGAGGTGAAATTACAGACTCAGCCGAACGCACAAGTGCTCTTCAGCTCTTCTTCATGAGCGTTTGAGTGTGTGGATAAAAGCTAGAGTAGAGTGCCATCTGCTGTTAAAATCTAAGCTCAGAATCCATTCTAGAGAGAATCGCCATGCATTCGGAAGATCTCGGAATCCATCCACCAATCGATTCTGCATTGATTTATCGTCGCAGCCCTAAGTCCGACCCGATGGCATTTATTTTTGGACTCGAACGTAAACGCATTGATGTGTGCACAGCCTGCTGCGCTGCAGTCGGTCAGGAAAAGTCCCAGTGTCCTGCTCACTGATTTGGCCGCTGCTCCATTACTTTCATTTATTTACTTATTTATTATTACTTTACATTTTTGATGTTGGATATGGTCTGACCGGATTTGAAAAATAAACGTGATAGCCAGTGTTTCCCCTGCCATTATATTAGAGGGGCGCGCCATTAATTTTAATCTCTCTATAGTGCCAGATCACAACAGAAGTCATTCAAGGTTACCTTTCCTATAGAACAGGTCTATACCTTGTTGTTTTATTAAACAAACTAAATAGCCTTATGTTATTTATTTTATTTACACGATGGCATGTCATTTCTGTCTATACATGGTCGCGCATTTACAATTCTCCTCTGCTCTCTGTATCGCTCGCACACACACACACAGACAGAGAGAGACACGCACACATGCGCACACACACACACGCAGAGAGAGAGACGCACACTCACACACACAGAGAGACTCACACACACGCACAGAGACACGCACACACACACGCAGAGAGAGAGACACACGCACAGAGACACACGCACACACTCACACAGAGAGAGAGAGACACATGCACGCGCACTCAAAAGGTAGGGCTCTTTGATTTCTGCGATGCGGAAAACAAGGACGGAATCGCAAAATCCAGTCATAAAAATAGAATTTACTGTATAACGCGGAATGTCATGGAATTTGTCAAACTTTAAATGAATTAATCAAAAGTAGGTGATTAAACTTAAACATGGACTAGTATCTGTAAATATTAAGCCACAAACAGACTATTTAAACATGAATCCTGCATGTTCTGTGTCTGTGTTAGTGAATGGCGCAGACGCACAGTTTCGTTTATGCCGTGTTCACACTGCATGATTTTAGCTCTGATTTTCACTCGGCGACAGGTTTTGCGAAATCACCGTCAAATGCCCGAAATTGGAGGCAAATCTGTGCTCGTTCACGCGAGTGACAGTCACGCAGTGTGAATTATCAAAGACGCGATCTGAGGGAATCACCGATGCGTCACAGACACCCGTGAAATATTTGGCATGCTAAATATCTGGAGCTGTCGGCGATTCAGAATCCTGCTGTGTGCAATGAGTTCTGACTGAAACATACATCAGTGATGACCTCCAGCCAATGAGAGACCAAGATACAGCGCAGCGGGGCGTTCCGGGAGGACCTTCATGAGCATTTTTCTGTTTCATTTGAGTAAAACTAGCCTCATATCACACACAAATGTAAAGATATTCACAGCAACCCGTCAAAGTGAAAGTTCGGTTTAACTTGAAGACACTGTGCCAGAGATATTGTTCAGTCGAATGCACATAATGCTACTAATAATATTAGTACTACTACTAAAATTATTAAAACTTTAATTTAAGGAATAATCACACAACATTTCTTCCATGTTTTATTGTTAATAGGAAATCCCCTTTGTTTGCCAAAAAAATTAATTTTCAATAATTAAAAGATAAATGAAATGAATGTATTATGCCTTCATTTGATAACCAGAAGAATTTAAATACACAACACAGAATTTCTGAGGAAAAAAAAGCCTTTCATAAGGCTATTTTAAGAATACATTTGAATAAATTAAGTAGTTTTTATGCATTCAAATGATTAGACATGCTAAAAGAGAGAAATTTGTAACAATAAAACATAAGGTGAGAAAAAAAATAATAATTTCATAGGGCCCTAAGCATGCATTTTTAAAAAAACTTTTAATAAGTTGATGTGAAATTGTGTTTCATGATTTTAATTAATTAGACATGCTATTTGATTAATACAATTTTATTTAACTGTTAAAAAGGAGTCCAGAATAAAGCAGAATCCAGAAAAATGAAAACGGAATTAGGAAAAAATAAAACTGATTATTTGGGAAAAAATAAAACTGATTTCATTGGGCCCTACACAGGTGAGCACACTCCCACCAGCGGACAGATAGTCAATCATCCTCATCCCCCCAAAGCTGTAAACCTAGGGGAAACACTGGAGAGCCTAATAAATCATGGATTTAACAACGTTATTTACCTCATCTCCGCTGAAGGGCTTCTGCGCACAAAAAACAAGAAGCCCTGCATGCACACGCAGGAAAAAGCACATTTATTTTAAAGTATCCGAGACCCGACCCGTGTCCGAGGCACTCGTAGAGGTTTTGGACCCGAACCCGCACTTGGATCTAAGTGGATCCGTGAAGACCTCTAGCCTGTCTGTGTGCTGTGTGTCAGATAACTTCCAGACGGCGCAGCTGCTGGCTCTGATCCTGGAGCTGCTGACCTTCTGCGTGGAGCATCACACGTACCACATCAAGAGCTACATCATGACCAGAGACCTGCTGAGGAGGGTGCTGACGCTCATGAACTCCAGACACAGCTTCCTGGCGCTCTGTGAGTATCCTCACGTCTGGGAACTAGGGATGACCCAAATTACAATTCCACCAGCACGTGTTTCCCCCATGCATTTTGCTCTTTTTTTTCCACCATTGCATAAAGTAGCCAAAATGTGCTTTTTACTGTTTTCAACAAAAAAATAAACTACAGAACAATTTTAAATATTTAACACTGAACATTTTTTAACATTCTAGCAGACATTATACCAAATATAAAAATCAGCATATTATTCAGCAAACAACAAATCAGCATATTATACTGATTTCTGAAGATCATGTGACACTGAAGACTGGAGTAATGATGCTGAAAATACAGCTGCGCATCACAGAAATAAATTAGTTTACTAGGGATGCACCGATACCATTTTTTCAGAACCGATCCGATACCAAAAATTCTGAATATCGGCCGATACCGATCAGATACCAGCAGTTTTTTTTTTTTATAAATGTAGAATTTCTATACGTCTGTGTTGACTTGATCATCACTCTTGTGTGTGTTTAACACAATCTACTAAATAAAGACAACTTCATTTGAAAGAAAAATAACAATTGAAACAAAATATATATATAATCATAACCTATGACAAAAATACTATTATAAACTAGGTTAGTGAATAATTCAGCAGCAAAACTATTTCTAGAAAAATCATGAGTGCACAATAATTTTATAAAATCTAAACATTTAGTGAAATAACATTATTTAGTGGGGAACAAATATAAGTGAATAAGTGTAGGACTAAGTCTGGTCAAATGTTACGTTGCTCTTTGTTTTGTTGTAAAATACATTCATGAAAAACTATATATATATATATATATACACACTATAAATTAAAAGACATTTCTTTTAAAT